CGAAATAATGTGTGAGATAGATCCGTATATGTAAAAGTACTAGTATACGACGAATAATAACTGTACAGTTGTACACATTATCATCGACAAATTGTCGAATATAGCCGCAAACTTGCTCATGCTCAAAAGCCCATTCTTCATCAGTCTTGTCTTCTGGTTTACTTGAACCAAATACGGGCAGATGCATTTTGGTTACCATAAGGAGATCTCTCATTTTATTTCTCCATTTATGGTAATTTGCGCCATTTAGACTGAGCATTTTGCTTGTCCTAGCCTCCATAACTTTTGAGTGAATAGTATCCGTATATGTAAATAGTACTAGTATACGAGAATAATAACTGTACACGTGAATAGTACTATACGTAAATAGTATTGTATGTGAATAGTATGTGTATGCGTGAATAGTACTATATGTGAATAGTTCTGGACTTAACAGTGACGGGCTCAGCAATAGTAACGCCAATAGTACTGTTCACCAGAGTTACTATTTTATTATTCATCAACAGGTTGATTCTGCAACGTTTTTTCTAGCGGACTGCACCAATGGACTCGTCGTAATTTTCTCATCGTGGTGGTATATTTATTTTCAAAATATATCTACGGATTCGGTACCGCTATCTAACTTGCTAGACCTGCTGAAACTTTCAACTCTGATACCACTTGATAAGGTCCCAGCAATAAAATTACGAAAATAATTACGGCAGTGGAAAAGTAAAATTGTGACACACAGAAATTTACGTGGTTCACCCTTAACTGTTTAGGGCTAGTCCACGTGACCAACTCCGAATATTTCTTCTACTATTAAAAATAGTAGGCTTACAAAGAGAGTAATACAAAATAGTGGCACTCAAAATTTTTTTCAAAAAAACACCCGAAAATAATTTCCTCACTATTTTTCTTTCTCCTAATTTTAGGAAACCCTTTCTAAAACTAAATAACTCTCTCTCTCTCTCTCTCAAAAACACACAGGATTATTATTTTTCTTCTGTGTGTGTTGTGCATTGAGGCTTGGCTAATCTCCTCTATTTATAGGAGAACAATACTAGTGCAAATTGGCTACCACCTCCAATTTGCACAAGTTTCTTCCTTCCCTTTTTGACTTTCCCCTTTTTTTTTCTTTCTTTCATGTGTGTGGATCCCACTGAGTGGGCACCCGCACAACAAATATTTAAACTTTTTTGAATATTTTAAAGTATATGGGTCCCACTTGAGTGGGCACTGGCACAACAAATAGTTACTTGGGATTGAGGGGTTGTGATCATGGAACCTGGATCTTTAGTTGCCAAATGGTCATCACTACGGACAAATGGAAAATCCTACTCATAAAACAAAACATGTCGTGAGATAAAAATCTTACCAGTAGAAAGTTCCAAGCAGTGAAAACCTTTATGAAGCTTGCTATAACCAAGAAAAATGCATTTATTGGACCTTGGAGACAATTTTCTTTTGGCATATGGCTTAAGCCATAGTTAACAAAGACACCAAAAACATTTAATTCCTGATAACTTGGTTTATGGCCAAATAAAATTTCATATGGAATTTTTGTCACATTAATTGTATAAACACTTGTTACAAAAGCATAGGTCCAGTATATTGGTAGTATTACAACATGATGTAGTAATGTTGGATCTATCTCTATAATGTGGCGTTACTTTCTTTTATGCAGACATGATGTAGTAATGCTGGATCTGTCTCTATAATTGTATAAACACTTGCTATAACCAAGATACTCGCTGGACCTGTTAAAGCTTGAAACTCTCCTCCACAATCTGCTTGGAAACTTTTATTGGTAAGATGAAGAATTTTTCAACGATGGCACAAAACTTAATAAAAAATATTCAACACATCAAACTTATTCTTAATAAGATAAATCTACGAAAATTTGCTAAAATGATCAAAAATGAAAACATAATAAACAATAACCATCAATAGAGGGTACTAGTGATAGCCCCCAAACTTCTAAATAAATGAGTTCTAATGGTTGATCAACACTTAAAACTGACTCTGAAAAAGGTAACTTAACTTATGCATCTTTCTTAAGTGGCAAGCATGGCATGAATATTTAGTAAAAGAAGAACAATAAATTTTATTAAGATGGAGAACTTTGCTAACAGTCCTAGAATTTGCATGACCGAGCCTTTCAAAGGAATGTGACAAGATTGGCTTCTGGAGGAACCATACAAATGACTTGCAAAGGAATATTGTAGAGCCCATCGCTACTCTGGCCTTGGAACAAAACTCGTCTCGTAGGGATATCCTTCACATCAATAGTCAGGAAAAAACTCCACAGAACCATTATTTTATTTAGTAAAAGCATTAACAGAAATAAGATTACGATGTATGTCAAGAGAAAGTAATATATTATGGAGAGAAAGAATGATTATGAACACAAACTGAAGAATAACCAACATTCGAGATAGGAATAGTGTTACCATTTCTGACGACTATTTCATCAGTTCCTAGATACGGCATTTTAGTCACAAGATTTTCAACATCTACAGTGAGATGATAATTAGCATCAGAATATGAGGTCCATTGTTGGGCAGAAGAATTTGCAGTAATAGTATAATTGGAGGTGGGACGAGGATTGGAGGTGGTACAAGGGGATAGACATTGTCTAAGAATATGTCTTTACCATTGCAGTTATGACAAACAAGAACTGGATTGCCGAGTTTGAGAAGAGGATTGAAAAGATTAGCAACTACAACCTCTTCCAGATCTGTCTCCTCGCTGGGAGATTGATTTGTTAACAAAATGGATAGTCGGATTAATAGATGAGACAACAGTTAAATTTTCAGTTTTTAATTGTGCTTCTTCACTGAGTAACATAGCATACAGATCATCATAAGATATCAGTGCATTTCAAGCTTCAATAGCTCTTATAAAGGACTATGTGAGGAATCAAGGTCCATATGTGAGTTTTATAGGAAGAAATTGATTGACATTTGGAAAAGTTAAAGAGGTTAAGGAGGAAGAAGAGGTTGTTACCAAGGCTTGCGATGTCCATATTTTTAAAGAAGGTTGTGAGGCCAAATGGCTCTGACACGATAAAGAAGCTCAATGAATTATACCACAAGCACATCTTATATAACCACAAGCACACTTATATTATGAATATATATATATAATAATTATATAATAATATATATATATATATAGTTATATATATACACAGAAGTCTCTTACATGATATACACATGAGTCTCTTACATGATATACATTAGCACAAGTCAGAGATAAGTGTTGCACAGCTAATTTACAAGATAATAACATCCTAACAATATGATAAGGTCTGTCAATTAGATTTAAAACATTGATGTTTCCACTCACAACTTGAAAATAAACTCCAATATTAATAAGTCAACAGTATTGCCAAAGCTCATTGAAAATATATTATCATAGTTAGTAATGGCTTTAAGACTTGAATCATCCCGACCGGTTCAACCAATAAAATTGAAAATCAGAAGCCAGACCAAGTCAATTCACTTTTGGAACTCTTTTCACTGAGAACCATTAAAATGATTCAACCAAATCAATAACCTATGAAAGGGTTAATTAGTTTGAATGGATTTGAACTTAGTTTTCAATTGGTAAAGAAAAATTTTCGAAAATGCTTTTTGTGGAATTGAACCTACGACCTAAAATGCACTATTAAGGTACTACCTACTAATGCATGTACACTGTTGTATTTTTTTTTTTTTTTTAAGAAACATTGTTGTAGTAAATTACTTAAATAAATTATTTGTTTAAATATTTTATAATAGCTACATTTTCTCTCAACAATTGTATTACTTCTTATTCAACATTTACATCGCTATAATTATAATTTATGCAATAAGTTTCTTTTTTTCTTTATTGTAGAATTTTATTTTTCTCAAATTAAATATTCTCTTATTTATAAAAATAATTTTATTCAACACTCACCTTTTTTTATAATATTTAACATATATTTATTAAATTTAGTACTAATGAAATAATATTGAAAATCACTCTAGTATTATTATTTTCTCATTGTAATCACTCTAACATTATTAACATAGAAATAATAATTGTTATCTTAAAGTTTTTTGCTTATTTATTTTATTTTAAATTTGCAATTGTTTGCTAAAACTATTATTAAACTGAAATTTAATTCTTATAATATTTTTATTTTAATAAATTTTACTAAGTTCATTTATTTTAATTCATAGAATATGATTTTTAATTAAAATTATTAATTTTAAATTATTTTATATAATATTCAACTAAATTATGTTCAATCACGCGCTACAAATTAGGGATTTATGTTAGACTAAACATAATTAAATTATATTTCAATTACATCTAAAATTTTCATGCACTGGACTACTAAAAATTTTTGAACTAAATCAATTTAACTCCATTGCCAGAAAGATATTGAATCTTGATGTTGCTCTATGATAGATGTATTATCTTGCTCTATAACCCTGACATTAATGGTCTACCTCCAATTTGACTGCATAGACCTGATACTTTGTGTGAAATTTGATTCATTGATTAATAAAAATAATAATAAATATAACATCTTGCGGTAAAAATAAATGTGCTCCATAAATCAACGGGTGTTGGATGGTGTTGGAATGAGTAGTTAGACACTCTTCTTCTTTAAATAAAGTGAGAATTCAATCCTCTTGAATGAAGTAAATATTTGTTGAAAGGAATTCAATCCTCTTGAATGAAGTAAATATTTGTTGAAAGCACTTCCGTGAAAGCAAGATTTAATACTAACCCGCCATTGAAAATCATCTGACTGTAGACTCATATAAACTTTAATCACATATGTACATAGACAAAAGCAGGAAAATTCAAAAAGCACAAAACAGGAATTCAATCCTCTTGAATGAAGTAAATATTTGTTGAAAGCACTTCCGTGAAAGCAAGATTTAATACTAACCCGCCATTGAAGAATTCAATCCTCTTGAATGAAGTAAATATTTGTTGAAAGCACTTCCGTGAAAGCAAGATTTAATACTAACCCGCCATTGAAAATCATCTGACTGTAGACTCATATAAACTTTAATCACATATGTACATAGACAAAAGCAGGAAAATTCAAAAAGCACAAAATTACAGTAGTGATAAATTTCCATTTATGAAAAAAGTAACTTACAGAATGGAGTATGAAACTAAGGTATAGGCATCATTTCCGATTTGCAATTTGATTTCGGATTGTCAATCTGTGCAAGGAACAACGATTTATTAACACTATTGCTTGCAATTGTTTCATGAAGTCTTTCAAAGTATGATTCCCTCAGTCCATTCTCCCTAGCAATATCAGAACGTACCCAACCGGAACGGTTTCCTTGTGCACCAGTGACTATTACAGCAGTGTCATCGGTAGCAAAATTAGCTAAAGCAATCATTGCTTCCGGCTCAGTAGCTGATGAGGCATCCACCAGAAAAATGTGACTAAAATGACCAGCCATGATGCCTTTACTGTGCAGCCGAAAGCTACTTACATAAGTAGACACTATTACTCTAAATTTTTGGAGTTCTTGAAGTGGAGGACAAGCAAAGCATTCACCTTTTAAAACACATGAAGGGAGAATGTCAAGAGGTACTCCATCTACCTCCCGAAAAGCAGCATTTCCTCGAAATATATCCGATTCAGGAATGTACTTCTTCAAGCTTCTTGTTAGCAAATCACATGTGCTGTTGATTGGTGCACATACAAGAATCCGATGATCTTGAGACTTTTCATAAATTTGAAGCATGGCTTCTTGGATAACCAATCCGGTTCTTGATAATACTTTAGGCTCATTCCGTTTTTCTTTAGTTACACAAAGTGGACCTTCAATAAGATAAGGTGGTGAACCACGGAATTTTAAGATCTGTTGAACTGCTGACATTTGATCTGTATCAAGTTTATAATTAAAATAGGAAGGAGATGAGGCAGAAATGAGCGTTCTGTAGTGAAAACTAGGGAAAGTGAAACTTTCAAATGAAGGATCCGATGCAGCTTCAATTGCTTCATGTCCCCTTTTTAAACAAACTCTGTTAAATGAGAAGCTAACATCATATTTGCGAGACGAATAATGTTGAGAATGAAAACCTTCACCAAATTCAACTAATACAGTAGTGCTTTTCACCACTCGATAGATGATACCCTGCTTTGCATTTGAAAAATAATTATGATTGTGGATAAAATCAATACATGAGATTGAAATACTTTTTCATAACATAACCTGATGGAAGTTCATGACACTGACCTGAAATGGCTCAATATTACTTCCTGAAGGTTTTGCAAAGACAAAGTCCCTTGATAAAAGAAATGGCCGTTTCTCACGTGCCGCATCAATCTTAAATTCTACAAATGTTCTATCATCCTTACCATCACTATCTGTGAAGTATGACCATTTAATTGTAGCTTCTTGCAACTTTAAAGTGATGCCCAACAATTTGAACTTACTCCATTTCTGATTCAAAGAAGAGACACACTTATTTCAACTAATACAAAGGAGTAATTAAATTTACAATATCGAATTACTGAACCATAAGCATATTGAAACCAGAAAGTACTTTTCATACATCAAATAGGAAAAATATAATACTGTAAAATTCAGAGAACTTGCAGATCACATGCAGCACAGTCTGTTTCCAAAAACGAATTATTTATACACAATTCTATCTACCAAAAATGTGATTGATATTTATAACACAATTCTATCTACCAAAAATGTGATTAATTTCTCTTTTGTGCATGTTGTTTTTTTTTTTAAAAAAAAAAAAAAAAAAAAAAAAAAAAAAAAAAGAAAGAAAGGCCTTGTACATATGGAACCAATTGACTTGAATTGTTTCCAACCATATCATAAAAGTACAATACAGCTATTGCATTTAATAATACGTCTAAACATGACAAAGGAAAGTTATCACACCATTTGCCAAACACTTCACCAGCATTTGAAGAGAAAAAACAAAAAGCTACTTATTAAAAAAAAGCATTGCAAATGATCAATCATCGACCAAAGTTTCAACAAGTCTTATGTCATTCTATTGACAAGAAATCTAGAATCTATCATTATCTTATGTCATTCTATTGACAAGAAATCTAGAATCTATCATTATCACTAGTCTTCCCTTAATGTGGTGATGCTATTATCATGCCCTCAGGACTTCATCCTTTTTCTGCAAGTTGTGGAATTAGAATATGTATTTGGACAGCACCTGTTGTCTTATGATAGTCAACCAATAAATATTTATCATCTAAAATGAAAGCAGTGCAGAATTAAGTATAATGGCAGCTTGTCTGTCATATCATGAAATCCTTGAAGTTTACCATATGCTTGCATATAATGAGCAATCATTGTGAACAAAATACACAAAAGTTCAACAATATTTTCAAGCATATATTTTTTCTAGATGACTTAAGAATATGTTGTAAATTTCCTACCTATATGTTTATATGACAATTCAGACATTATTACACTTAACAAAATTTATGACCGTATCAGATGATTTCCATTTGATGTTATTTGACTTCCAGACCATTCAAATCAATGAAATCGAAAAAAAAATAAAAAATAAAAAAAAATAAAAGATACCATGTTTGATATAATTTGGTATTAAATATAGAGAATTTAATCAGTTCAATAAATTCTGCAAAAAAAGATACCATGTTTGATATAATTTGGTATTAAATATAGAGAATTTAATCAGTTCAATAAATTCTGCAAATGAAGAGCCTGCAGTTGCACAATGTTTTATGATTTATAGAATTTGAGTCTCAGACGACTCCATTGACCAAAAACTCTACTCTCACACCTGTTGGATTAAGAATCAGCAAACTCCATTTAAATCGTGGCATTGCTACTACAAACCAAAAAAAGATCTTATGTTTCTAGGCCCCAAAGGGCCTAACAATAATACGACAAAGTCAATACAACTCTTACTTCAATTTGGATGATATCTGTCCCTATCTCCATTTGAGTAGCCCTTCTCGAAGTGATCCTCAAATTCTTTTGAATGCTCAATTTAAAGCAATTTCATAGCATGTCTTTGAATACACATTGATACTTTTCATATTCAATTAGATTATTAATGAAGGCACCCAAGATGTTATCCAAGTAATTATTACCTCAATATAAAAGTCCTCTGCATATAGAAGAGCAGCAAAATAGTCCTTGTATGTTGAGACACACAATGGCCTTTTCAAAACTCCAGGTACTTTGTCTTTCTTGATCAAATCTTGTATATCCTTAGGAATCGCATAAATAGGTAATGCATCCTTTTGAACCCATATAACTCCAGGTACTTTGTCTTTCTTGATCAAATCTTGTATATCCTTAGGAATCGCATAAATAGGTAATGCATCCTTTTGAACCCATATGTAGTTTGCTTTTGAATGCTCATTTGTGCCATTTGGGGAAGTTGGAGCCAGGGTTGACTTAAAAGATGCAGGGGTTACAGAGGATGATGTAGATTGCTTTAAGGACGAAAGAGGTACATTACTTGAGAATATAAAAGGTTTAGAAGACAGTGGAGATGGCTCAGAGTGTGATGTTTGAAATTTTAGGATAGGTGATGTGTTCTTTTCAACCTGTTTGTTGGTGGCTTTTGAATGCTCATTTGTGGCATTTGGGGAAGTTGGAGCCAGAGTTGACTTAAAAGATGCAGGGGTTACAGAGGATGATGTAGATTGCTTTAAGGACGAAAGAGGTACATTACTTGAGAATGTAAAAGGTTTAGAAGACAGTGGAGATGGCTCAGAGTGTGATGTTTGAAATTTTAGGATAGGTGATGTGCTCTTTTCAACCTGTTTGTTGGTGGCTTTTGTCTGTTGATTGGTCACATTTGAGAAAGCCGGAGTCAAAGTTAGTTTAAAAGATGGTGGGTGCTTAAAGGATAATGGAGAAGACTCCGAGGAAGATAATGATGCTTTAGGAATAGTTTTAGAAGATGGTGATACTTTAGCTTCTTTAGTGCAAGGTTTTGATGAAGTTGAGGGTGCAAAAGATAATGTTTTAGAAGAAGATAAGTGTGATGTTAGTGATTGATTTTGGTTAGAAGAAGATGTTGGCGGTTTAGATCTCGACAGAGTCGGACTTGAAGAGTATGTGAGTTTAGTAGATGAAGGTTGTTGTAGCATAGAGGAAGATGTGTGTGGACTATATGAAGATATAGGTTCATATTTTGCATAAATACTTGAAGCACTATGCACATCATCAATTCTTTTTACTGTCTTAACATATGTTGGTTCAAAGTTTGTCGGATTACTTGACCCTGAACCAAATCCTACCCTATATATATTAGGAGTAATTGTTTCACCTGAAGTATTTCCATATAATGTTTCAGATTCATATTCATCTCCACGATCCTCAACCCAACCAAGAATACGCCTCAAGATTTCAAGAAACACAGACATGTTATCCTGCAACCAAAATATGCACAGGTACTTAAAAACCTCTTTCAGTTCCTGAGAAGTAATTAATTTGACAATTTTTTCATAGATTTGAAAATCTTAACTCCACAAAGCCAAATAATTCAATAATAAACCAATATATGTTATTTCTAATGAGTAGATTATTAAGCATGGAGAGGCAATCAAAAGAAGCTTAGCTCAAAAACTCAATCTATCATGTTAAAATCAAGGATTATTTGCTTCATGTTTAGTACTGAACCAAAAAACTGACACCTGAGATTACAAATAAAAGTTTGATGATTAAATAGGATTTTGCAAATTCTCGAGCTGCATATATTTATTAGTTATTGATTGAGAAATCTACAAGAATTTACACCAGTTCTGGTAAAGTTGAGTCTCAGTCTACAGTTGCTGGATTTCAAGAATTGGAGATGATAAAGGATAGTGGAACCTAAAAAGGAAAGAATTCTTCATACATAAAATAAAAAATCAATTTAAAAATGTTTTAATCATTACCTCAGAAACCCATTTTGTACTCATTTTGTTTCTGATTCATATCTTTTTTTTTTTTTTGTACTCATATTTTTGTTCTGATTCATAATCTTTTTTTTTTTTTTTTTTTTTGTTAACAAAAAAAAAAACAACTTTCCCTTCCAAGAATACCATTACAGAAAAGAAAAGAAGAAAAAAAAGAGGAAATAACTTACTGATCATAACATGCAATTGAACCAGATGAACTGCTTGGTTATTTTGAGAGAAAAGATAAATGTTATACGGACAAGAAAAAAGAATCTATCAGAAAATAAGATCAAAGAAAGAACTTTGACTTACCTGAGATTTCCCGAACCCTAAGCAAAGACTGGGTAGTATGCGACTCAAGTGGTGAAAAGAGAAGACTGAATACCAAAAAGTGTTTTACAACAAGGAACGACTATTATATTTATAAACATTATCATAAAGAGTTCTCAAATTATCCTTCATTTATATTTGAAAAAGTAAGTTTGTTAGATTTTAAAAATTAACAAATTAATTGAAAGATTACTTTAAACAAATTTATTAATTGTGCTTTTATATATTACTAGTGTTAGAATGAAATGATAGAAATAATTTTTATAACTTCCGATACAAACACAATATGAAAAAATTAGACGGTTGACATGAACACGACATGTTTAATTCTTTTAATATCATAAATATGTTAAGTGGGTCGTATTGATCCATATACAACTCGTGTGACCCGCTTAATATCATAAATAGGTTAAGTGGATGTGTTGACCTATATACGATTCACTTAACCTACTTATTGTATTTTTTTTTAACTTTTAACCTATTTAACTCCAATCACCCAATCATATTATAAAATAAATTTTCACGCTAACTGCATAAATTCTTCAAGATCTCATTAATTAATAATAAATAATTAACAACATTATTGATATTGTATTAGTTAAGTGGATGTGTTGACCTATATACGATTCACTTAACCTACTTATTGTATTTTTTTTTAACTTTTAACCTATTTAACTCCAATCATATTTAAAAATAAATTTTCACGCTAAACATGCATAAATTCTTCAAGACTCATAATTAAAATAAAAAAATAATACAACAATAAAATTTGAATAGTTTTTAGTTGGAGTTTTTATATTTAACACCAAAATTACTTTTTTACTCTTAGATAAACGGTTCACTAAAATTATATCTTGCTGGTCGCATTACATTGGCGAAAGCTATTTTATTTGCAATCCCAAGCTATGTGATCCAGACTTTTAAGCTGCCTCTGCAGGTTTGTTCACACATCGAGAGTATTTATCGTAACTTTATCTGGCGGTCTTCTAATGAGAGAAGAGGCATTCCTTTAGTGTGTTGGTCTGATATGTGCCATCCTAAGGGTATAAGTGGAATGGGGTTCAAAGATATGAAATCTTTTAATGATGCATTTTTAGTTAAAATTGCTTGGGGTGTTGTTGCTAAATCGGAGACCCTGTGGGCTCATATTTTAAGGGCCAAGTATTGCATTGGAGATTATTTTATTCCTACTGCATTTCGTGGTTCATCGGAACCTTGGCTATGGAAGACTGTGCATATTGTGTGGCCTTACATAGCTAGTGGTGTCAACTGGTCCTTGGGGGATGGACGGACAACTCGTTTTTGGTTTGATCTGGGTTTTAGGGACTGGTCCTCTATTTTTGCTTTCTTCCTTACCTATGAGTGAGTTTGATCTAAGGAGGAAGGTGTTTGAGTTTGTGACGCCTGCTGGTATTTGGGATTGGTCGATGTTTGCCCTTTTCCTCCCTACTAGTCTTCTGTGTAGAATAGCAGCTGTGTTGCCTCCTTGTGCTGATGGCGGGATGGATTCTCTTTTCTGGGGTTTCTCGGCTTCTGGAGCCTTCATTATTAAATCAACCTACTATGCAATTTCTAATCACACAATTGTGAGTAAGGAGAGGAAATGGAGGTTTGTTTGGTGCTAGAAGGGTCTAAAGCGCATCAAGACTTTTCTATGGCTAGTGTTGCACCAGAAATTATTGACTAATACAGAGCGATGTTGTTGTCATCTAGTTGTAGATTCTTGCTTCCCCTGTTGTTGGCAGGAGGAGGAAACTCTTTTGCATCTCCTGAGGGACTGTAGTATGTCAGATGGTGTTTGGAAAGATTTGGTGCCGGTGGGTTATGTTCCTGTGTTTTTTGCAGCAACTGGCTTTAAGGATTGGTTTTTATATAATGTTTCTAATGTTGAGGTGCTCGTTAATGATATTCATTGGAATGATGTTTTTGCTATTACCTGTTGGACTTTGTGGAGGTGGAGGAATGCTATTATCTTTCAGAGCAATGGTGGGTTTTCCATCGCACTCTATGTAGTGCGCACTTTGGCAACGGATCGTGAATTGGTTGCAAATCTGTCGCGAAGTCAGTCGTTAATACATCACCGTTTGGTCGAAAAGTAAAAACCAAACTCACGGGAATTATTAGTGCTAGAATCAGCGATAGATTATCAATAGGTTCGTAATTCCATCGCTAATTCTGTCGAAAATTGGTCGCAAATCAGTTTGTGAATATTTAACTTCTGTCACTTCAACGTTCGTCGCACGGGGTAGCTAATGCATCGCACGTTAGTGCCGGTCGCAATATGCAGTCACAATTTAGCATTTTTTTTTTTATAGTGGTGTGTGTATATATATACAAAGCATATATGCATACCCTGTACTATCATTTGAACTAGAAAAACCTATATATGTATATAGGCCGTATTTACTAGTAAATCAGAAAATCTAGTTTTTCGGTTGTTTATTTCTTTAATTATGGAAATGAAATTAAAATTATTTCGTATATATATCTAGTTTTTCCATTTTTTTTCTTAATTTGCCTGATTTTTTTGAGGTTGTCGTGGGTTGAAGAAAAGTCAGTTTGTTTTGGGGTTGATTCTGTTTGGACTTTGTTTTCCCCGTGCTTAGTGGATGTGGAAGATTGCACTGTTAGGAGACTGAAAGTAGAGGCAATTAGTTTTATGTTAGGGCTGACTGTTACTTTTATTGTAACACTTGTTATTTCTCTTATAAGGTTAATTTTGGTATTATTAGATTTATTTTGATCAAATTTGTTATTATCTTAATAAATATTCATTTATGACATTTAATTAAATTTGAAACCTTATATCAGACATTTATTATATTGCCCCTTTCCAAACTGCGAGAGCTTCAGAAGCCACTCCATTTTGGTACTAAATTGAAGTTTGTTTTAGATCTTCGTGAGTTATGTTTTGGATTGGGGAATCTCTTCTTCATGCTTTGAGAGATTGTAACTTTGTGAATAAAACTTGGCATTGCATCAATAATTTCCCAGGTAATTGGCAGGCTTTTAAAGATACTAATGTGTCTATTAAGGAGTGGGTTTTTCAGAATATTTCCTTTAAAGCTGTTCAGAATTCTAGCACACAATGGTCTATCATTTTTGTAATTAATTGCTGACGTATTTGGAACTGAAGAAAAGCTATAGCCTCTGGTTTAGCTCATAACATTATTAATTATGCAGCTGAAGTCATAAAGGCTCAGTCTTTGCTTACGGGAGGTCATTGTACTATAACATCCAAAGCCCAAAAATGGATTTCTTGGATACCTCCTATAATGGGAGATCAATTCAAGCTAAATACAGATGGTTCGATTAAGAACAAAGAAGCTTTTGAAGGAGGATTAATGAGAGAGAGAGTTTGGGTTCATGGGTGGGAGTTTCATCTCTCATATGGGGACTTTATTTGAAGGTCTTAAGCTTGCTTGGTCGCTGGAAAATAAGAAGGCTCAGTGCGGACTGTGATAAGATGGTTAAAAGGAATTCGAAAATTCATGGAGGTTTGAGAGCACCGCGGTTCTTTCCATTAGCAGCGACTCAACAGGGATTGGAATTGTCAACTTCTCATGTGTACCGTGAAGCATAATGCTAGTGCGAATAGACTTGCAGAATAGCCAAAGGTTACCCACTATGCTAGTGCGAATAGACTTCCAGATTAGCCGAAGGTTACCCACTTGATGTTATGTTCTCTCAAGACCTCCATTGGAACTAGAGAGTGGCTTCTTCGTGATGCTGTGGGGGTTTCTTACCCAATTTACTGTAATTATTAGGCGGTGGCCTTTGCTTCCCTTCTTTTTTTTAAAAAAAATATAAATTATCTTTTTAAAATTTTTTGACAAGAGAAGGATCCTCATTATTCGAACCGAGTGTCACTTATGGTTGTAGATGTGTCAAATGTCACATTTGTAGATGGCAATAAATTATTATTACTATTTTTTTTTTTTTTTTTGTTTTAATAAAAATAGTAAAATTATCTTTTTAGAAAATTATTTTGACAAGAGAAGGATCCTCTATTATTCGTAACCGAGTGTCACTTTATGGGTTGTAGGATGTTGTCAAATGTCAATATTGTGTAGAATGGCAATAAATTATTTATTACTATTTTTTTTTTTTTTTTTTTTGGAAATATAAGTATTTTTTTTTTTTTTTTTGGAAATATAAGGGAAGCAAAATAAAATTGAAAATTTTAATTTTTTTTTAAGAGAATTAAAAAAAAAAAAAATTGATTGGGGGCGGACCACCGTGGTACCCTCTCTTTGTTGTATACACCAATCGATCCATAAAAGGTTTTTTAAAATATATTACTATTAATTTTATCATTTTTAGTGAATAGTCATAAATATTTTCATTATAATTAAATATTTATTTTTAATTAGTTTGGCGTATAGATGAATTCATATACTGAAAATAGATAAATTCTTCTCATATATGATATGTGGTTAAAACAATAAAGAACTTTAGAACATAATTAATTACATATTAGGTACAAGACTATATTATCAAGTTCAACTCCTTGGTTTTTGGCCAAAAATCCAATTTTTGAAATTGGAACCACCGGTTTGGATCCAGTTCGAACTGGATCTGGAACTGTGCGGAACCAAAACTGGCTAGAATCGAAAACGGAAAGTTACAGTTCAGTTTTGGTTATAAGATTTTTAGAACTGCGAGCCAACGGTTTCAAGTGCCGGCTGAATTGGAGGTTTTAACAACCTGTTAGAACTACCAATTCCAACACAATTTTTTTTTTATTTTTTCAAAAATTTTTATTAAATCCCAAAATTAACTCTTCTAATAACTATAAACGGCTATATAACAACTAGTTTTAAAGGTGTGGAAGTTAAATTTTTTGGATTTATTATAAATATCCCATTATTTTCACTCTCTTCACACTAAATTATTTCTCTCTACTCTCGAATCTCTCTAAGCTCTCCAATTTATAACTATTGACCAAATTATTGTCAAATAATTTCTCCAATCTCTAATAAAGTTTAAGCCTTTTTTTTTTAAAAAAAAATTCTCTTAAAGTTATTTTAAAAATATTTCATAAATATTTAAATTTTGAACAAAAAATGTTTCTCAATTATTTTGATTTTAAA